TGAAACAATTTGAATATGATTCGTCATTTATTTCCAGGGAAACTGTAGCACACTAATTTATATTGCCAACTTAAAATAATATCAATGGTATCAGACTTCCTTATTTTGTTTAGTTATTGTAGCCTCTTATTACATGTGTACATGGAGGGGGAGGTCTCATTGAAGTAATGATATTTCCACTTTACTGATGCTTGCTCAGAAAAGTTTTATTGCCAATAGAAAGGGTAATTTGTTTAGATTTCCAGTACAGTTGTGAACTCCATAATTTCATTTTCTAATCAATAACATGAGCAAATGGAATGAATAAACATATTCTTGAGTACATGTAAAGAAAACTAAAATGCTTCAGTATTATAGCTATTTAATTATTATTATGACATTCAAATTTGACCTGAACTTCTGGATTTATCACACAATAATTTCTGCGGTGCAGTAACTTTGGCTGTGTTATCCACAGTGAGAACCATACTTTAACAGCTGTATATGATATATGTGACACTGATGAATAAACAGAAAATACTTTATTTTATGGAATAAAAGATTATTTTAAGTTATAAACGACAAGATAACTTCAAGGTCCCTTCCACCATACCAAGAAAAAAACAGAGGTTTTTTTTTTTTTTTTTTTTTTTAAATTTCCCAACAGAGATGCCAAAATACTTTTGCGAAATATGTCATTTGGAATCCTGTCTCACAGAATTGATGAAGAAGTATAAAGGTTAATGTTATTTTCTTATCAACATAGCCATTACTACTTAATTGCTAAAGTGGTAAACTTAATGGCCCAATCTGTAATATGAAAATTTCAAGTACAGTCAAAAGTCGTTAATCCGGACTCGCCGGAACTCAGTTTGACGTTTTTCCTTGACAACAGCACCAGCACAGACTAGCATCTCGCTATACATCATACTGTCAAGGGTTTTTACCTTTTTCCAGATACTCTTTGCAGATAATACCACGGCAATCCCACAAGATACAAAGCATGATCTTTTGTTAGTCAAATTGCAATTTGCGATGCTGACGACATTCTCCCCAGGCACAGAACAGCCTCCTTTTCGATGTAACCTTTCTGTGCTGTTGAAGTAAATCCGCTTTTCATCAAAAGTGATGATTCAGTCCAGAATTTTCTTCTTGCGTTGATATTCGAGCAGATTAGAGCAGGCCTGAACACATCTGTTCTTTGTGGAAGAATCCTGCCAGCTTTGTTTTCTTTCTGTACAAAGAGATTTTTTTATGTTCACAATTTTTTCAGGGCCACTTATTTGTTTATTTGATTGTCAGATTAGATGTAGATACTACACCTTTCTCATTAAACTCTTCCAGTCAATAGTTATGTTTTCATTAAGGCTGAATTGCTCCTTCTGCAACTTAGTCAATGTCAGTTCCTCTGTGCAACAATCAATAAATTGCAGTGCAGTTAAAAAAGTACTCTGAAACCAATAAACTAGCTGTTAAAACGCACACTTTCCCTTCATTTCAACATTTCACACCTCCAAATGTTTTCTTTGATAGCCTTTTTTGCATATTTGAATGTAAGGTAAGAAGAATGGTTTAGCCTATATTAAGGGTGCCCCTTGGATTATCGGGAAATTGTTTCATTTATTGCCAAGTTTTTGTTTCATTTATGGTAACCTGAGTAATTTAATGTTATGGAAACCCTAGTATGATGTAAATGGTTGTGTGATTGCGGTGAATTTGACTGATGGGAAAATATGTTTTGGATATCAGTTAGGAAGTACGTCACGTATGATGTGCTGTGCATCGTAAAATGGCTGCTGGTGGTAAAGTGCGTGTTGGTGGTATAGAACGAGAGAGCATAAGATACTTTTTTTTTAAATGGTTGAGGACAGAAGAAAAGAAACTTTGTTGGATGTAATTAAACAGAATTATAAGTGTCCTGTTTTTACAAAGGAAATATGTATGGTCGAAGGTAAGGATCATTCAGATAGCTTTAAATGGATTTGCTGCACTATGAAATGCTCACCATATAAAGCATTCCATTAAAAAGGGAACATGGTTTAAGGAAAGATTTTGGATGCTGTTAATTCATTTTGTGTGCAACAGATTGAAGACACGGAAATTTGTAAATAAGGTAAGTGGATATTTCCTTTGTGGAGTGCTTAGACACTACAATCAAAAGCCGTTAATTCGGACCCCCATAATCCGGACCTCAAAGCTACAAACTTTCTGCGCATGCGTCTAATTGACGCAGACCTTTATGGCTGCGCATAATACGTTTACACATGCGCATTTAATGTATAACAGACGGTATAAGCTAAAATTATCTAATTATCTATTTCAGTTAATGTTGCAGATTGCGTTGTTCCTTAATCTTCGAATTGGATCCGGCTTATTATTTTTTGCAGACTGTTAGAGCAATTTTATAAAAGTAAGCTTGAACTTTTGATTATGTCAAATAGAATTTCCGATGCTGGAGCTCGCAAAGGATCTACAAAGCGAAAGTCTGTTTCGATGTCCATCAAACAAAAAGTGGAATTGCTGCAAAGAATGGATAAAGGGATATCCTTTGTTTCTCTAACCATTCCAAAATCTGTTTATCAATTTCACACTGCTCTGCGGCGGGGGGAAAGGGGGAAACGACTCGGCGCGCAATGAATTGGAAGTTGATCTGTCAGCACTATCCTTATCTTCAGGGCAGATGTTTTTATTTTATTTGGCTTATAATTCCTTACTAAATGTAGTATTTCATCTCGATGTACTCCGTCTTTGACATGATCTAAATCAAGTTATAATTTAGTCATTATAATTCGCTTCTAATAGTGAAGAAAGTGACACAGAGGTTATTGAAAACAAAAAAATTTCGATTGACAAGTTAGTCGGTATTCTCGACCCAGCAATTACAGGAGTTGAACAGTGGAACTTTGTAACTGAACAAGAAATTAAGTCTGTTTATAGAAGAGAGAATTAAAGAGAAAGTATTATCACATAAAAATCAAGGCAACTTAAACAACTTACATTGAAAGAAATGTTTAATAAAGTAAACAAATAAATATTAAGCATTTTTTTTTTTTTTTTTTTTTTTTTTTTTTTTTTTTGTAAATTTTGATACTCTTTAGATGATAATTGTTCTTTATTTCATAAATTATGGTTTCATATTTTTAATTTTATAATTTCTGCATGCCATCTTACCAGATTTAAACTGATGATCTATAATCCGGAAAAATCGATAATCTGGAATTGCCGAAGTCCCGACGAGTCCGGATTAATGACTTTTGACTGTATAAGATGAATTTCCTTTTTTATGTCATTTCATTGTTTGATTAAAATTTAGTTTATTGAGATTATATATTTTTTATTCGGCTCTAGTGCAGAATTGGGTTGCTTTGAATTTTTAAGTGAAAATAGATCGATGTGTACATGGACAAAGTCAAGGGACTGTGCAATGCCTAGTTTGTGCAATTCTCTGATATCCTTTTAAGTGAAAATAGGTCAATGTGTACATGGATACCGAGTTTGTGCAATTCCCTGACTTGTTATTTTGGCTTTGTGTAGTGGCCGCCGCTAAAGATAACAAGTCAAAGAATTGTACAAACTCAGTGTCCATGTACCGCCAAAAATTGTCAACTTTCACCAAGAGGCACCCACAAATATATTTTTATCAAAGCATGTTTCATGGAAGAAAAACATACCATCTTCCTCTATTCTAAAAAAAATTAAAAATTTGTTAAGACCTTTTTTTTTTTATATATATATATACATGAACATTTAGAATACTGACAGAGTGATGGCAGAATTATAGGTGATCGTGAATCGCTAACATTTATATGGAAAAAAATACAATAAAATACAGCTTATCCTGAGCTCTTCCTGTCACAAGCAAAATAAAAATAGGCACCTTTAGGAGTCTGGTGATTTGAAGACAGTTTGCATTGAAGTTTTATTTACAAACATGGGCTGATAAGAAAGTACTATGGTTGCATATTTGAAAGATATTTGCATAATTTCTAACTTTATTTATATGCCCACAGAAATCAACAATATTATCTGCACAAGAATTTTCATCACAGCAAAAACAGTACATTTTTCAGTGAAATATAAGAACATTTAGTGTTTTTAATGCCTTGCCTCGCTTACCAATTCTGATGCCAAAAAAACTGGTATGCGAAATATGAAATCCAAAATTCGTAAAATTAGAAAATTAAATGTAATAAGTAAAGTTTTTCTCAGAAGTTTACATATATAAAAAGCTATAAAGGTTTTTTTAAATAAGCAATTTCAGGAAGCTTACATAACCTTTCACACTACAAGACATTATGAATTTTGTACAAATTCTACAGCCGTCTTTCTATAAATTTTATATAGTTTTTCAAGGTAGATCAGTATCCAAATGAGAAAGACTGCTGAATACAGGTAATTAAATTCAGTTTGAATCATGGTATGGCTGCATGAGTTTCTCCATACTTGACATAAATATGAGCCATTTTGCCTTAGAAAGGCATCTCTCTCCTTAAGCACATAATTCTCCTGAGCGTGACATGTTAAGTTAAACAAACTTGGGGCATAATATTCAAGTATACAAATCAAAACCTATTTTAGATGAAAACAGGGTACATTAAAAAATAAATAAATAAAGTAAAAAATAGGGGGGACTTGCTTATTTATAAAGAAAATGCTTAAAGCTCTGAATGTAAAATGCAAACATATGCTAACTTACCATAACTGGCAAAAGCAATGAAAAGAATGATTACCAATTAAACCACCTGGAATATTTCAGTACTTTTCTGCAATAGTGTTATGAGAGCAAAATTGAAACAAAGTAAAATAATCTACACTTAAATGCTAAAAACAAAAGTGCATTACTTATTTTGAAATTAGATTATTCTTGAAGCATAGTGTGACCCCCTTCCACCCAGAAATTATTTCATCCCACAATGACTTCAGGGAAATCTGTTCACCTTGCAACAAACAGATATGCTACAGTTAATTTGGATAAAATATTAAATTTAAGAACAATCAAAGAATAAAAACAAGTTCATTACTTTCATGCATTTTATGGCTTCCCAACCATCTTGAACTGACTTTATTTTCTTATAATATGACTCCTTAGGTAGAAGAAGCTGATCTAATATTTGCAGCTCCCCTTTTCTGTATTTTATGGCTTCTAACATTTTAATACAAGAATGTCACCTGACAAAAATATACAGAAAATAAGAACAGTAAAACTTCATCAATTATAGACTTCGAAAAATATTATTGAATCAATTAATGCTTTTTAAATTTATAAAACATACAATATTTAGAACCAAATATTTGAACATCTGAGAATATTATAAAATAGAATAAGTACATACTTATACGTCGAACCCAATAAATAAGCCAACAGAATATTAACAGCTTCTCTGAATTCAAATTTCCGTTATCAGAATCCAGTAGAAAAGTGAGGAAAGTGCAGAATCACCACTGCTTGACTCGTTTTTAAGAATTGCACATACTCGGTATCCATGTACACATCAACCTATTTTCACTTAAAAAATCAAAGAAAATTGACATAAATCCAATTCTTCTTACTCTTATAAAAAGCGCCAAACAAATAAGTGGGCGATTCTGCACTTTACCCAAACTTCAGATTTTATCAAATATCAGCAGCTTTACCTTAAATGTTACACAATGAAAAAAATTATTGCACCCGCTAAGAGTTAAAAAATTTATAATGATAAATGATTAATTTTCATAACGTCAGATATATATTATCAACTTAGCAACTGCAGTTTCAGCCCAAGCAGTTAATTTTCCGAAATAAAAAAGACTTGAAACTTCAATTCCACATTTCGTTAATTTATGCTATCTAACGTTTAAAGTTCAAATTCAAAGTTCATTTACTTTGAAACATCATCTAGTAAATGTAAGCAGCAGAGTGGCGCAGTGGAAGCGTGCTGGGCCCATAACCCAGAGGTACGTGGATCGAAACCACGCTCTGTGTCAATTTTGATGAATTGTGGACTAGATTTTACAAAAGAATCATGTCCGTCGAAAGTTTTTACAAACCAGCTTTCCAATAACTGATTAGTAACTTAATATACACATATATGCACAGAGGCGTAGCTAAGGTTTTCAGCGCCTGTGTTCCAAGAACGAAAAACATTTCATTCTGAAATGTGTATCATCAATTTGGCGCTCCCTAGATGCTGCGCCCGGGGACGGATGTCCCCCCCTTGCCCCACCCTAGCTACACCACTGTATATGCATATAGTAATACAGAGTAATAAATTTGAGGAATATTTCCCAGTACAGAATTTGTTATTATTCAGAAGTAGGTAGTGTAGTAGTACATAGATGGCGCCACTATGTTTTAAATAGGTCAAGGAGGCTTTGGTGACATAGACCAACTTTTATTTTCCTAACACTTTTTGTTTATTTGAGAAATTATTTTAGGATTTTAATGAATGCCTAGGAATTTAATATAGAAAATATACAACTCACAATGAATTAATATAAATATTGTCCTTTCGTTTTAAGTGTGCATGGCTGCAAAAGAAGAATACAGAAAAACGGAATGTCGGAAACAATAATAGTTAAACGTATTTCTTCTTCAAATTCTTAAGACTACTTTCATGGCAACTTCTCCGGTAAAAGAAATAAAAAAAAGGAGAAGAAGAAAATGGTTATTGTTTCGCGCATTTTGGCAACAGAGAGAAAACCAGACTAAAATCGTAGAAATAGCCTTTTTATTTAAAACTTGAACTTGAACTCAATTTTTTGGCGGAGGCCGAAAGGTAAAGTCGCTGAACACTGGTAGTTCGGTCCGAGGTTCGAATCCCGCGAACGGGCTGGCTGCATGGGTATTTTCGTGCTTTTTCCCATGTGTAACGTGTATAAGAGCCAGTTCCCTTAGAAGTCCTCCACGAAGGCATCCCTCCCCTTAGGCAGATAGCCCAAGTGTGCTTTGCCATAATTAAATACACCACACAACACCAATTTTTGGGGAGTTTTTGAATCATCTATAATCGGATATTGTTGTTTAAACTAAAAATATAAATAATATTGTGTCAATATAAAACTAAGAAAAGTCATGTCTGATTATTATTTCTACGTTATGAATAATTTATTAAAGAAGACATTAATTTTATTCTAGCAGATATTCGGAATGTAGTCCAGCATCAAGAAAATCATCAAAGGCGTAAGTCTCAAAATTTATTGAGTCCTTATATTATTAAATTTAACACTAATTGGAGCATATACTAGTTTTATTTAAAAGACCTGCAATAAGTTGGTGACCCGGACGATACGTGATAATATTTTGTTTTGCCAAGGACGACGATAAAACTGCCCAGCTGAATGCCGAAGCTAGCAATGTCAGCCTGAAAATTTCGCTGTTTTGGGTCGAAAGACTTGAGATTTGGTTTTATCAGGTAGAAGTCCAATTTCAAATTAGTGGAATCGAGAATGAAGAAACGATATTCAATTATTTGGTCGCCCAATTAGAACCTAGATTTATAGAAAATATCTGGGATATCATAAAAAACTCTAAGAGCAACAAATATTCGGCTGCTAAGGAGCAATCACTCAACACTCTTAAGGAAAGTGAAAATCACCGCATTAAACGTCTGCATACCAGGTTGTAACTTGGCGACAGGAAACCTAGCCAACTCCTTCTCAAAATGAAATCTCTATGGGTAGACATGTCGGAGAATATTTTGCAATCTCTCTGGCTGGAAGAGATGCCAGACGCTGTGTAAAACATTCTAGTGATTAACAAAGAGACTCTGGACAAGTTGGCCACAATGGCGGATAAAATCGTGGAGCTAAGCTCACGCCAGGAATCGGCTGCCGTCAGCAGAAATACAGGGTGGAAGAACTGTAGCAGAAAATTGCCTCATTAGAGCTCCAAATTGCCAGCAGGAATGCCTGAAACTCCAGACCATGGACTCGCAACTTCATAGGAACCGCAGTAGCTATTCGAAGTCAAAAAAAATTTGGTGAAAATAAATATTATGACTACCATTTTAAATTTGGGGCTAAATGCTATCCTGAAAAATGCGAACGACCTTGTGAATGGAAACAGTCGGGAAACGTAAGTCAGCAGTAAACTCCGCGGCTGTCAACGGCCACACCATGCTGAAAGTAAACTCCGCGGCTAGTTTTACTGCAAGCAATTGTAATTGCCGTAAATTCCGACCATATGTAACCGGCAAAAAATCGGGATTACGCCTTTTAGTGGACAATGGAGCCGACGCATCCCTGATCCTGGCAATTACAGCAGGAAATATGCTATGTTCCTATACATTATATTATGCCAATGGCAGAAGTAGACCAACTTATGGTATAAGAACTCAAAATCTTGACTTGGGAACTCAGGAGACAATTTAAATGGCCATTTATCGTCGTCAGGGTTATAAGGATTTCTCTTTTCTTCTTAGCATACCTTCGTGGTGTAGTGGCCAGCACGCTCGGTGCGTATTCGAGAGGTTAGTGTTCCGAGTCCCGGCGAGGGCATTGCTCATTTTTCATGACTCCTGCTTCAAAATAATCCTAATATTTCTACAGTGGGACCCAAACTAAAAAAGGGTGGTGGATGATGATTCTCCATCATCAGGATTTAGCGATTGGGTCCCTTAATGTCCAGTCGTCCTTTAAAAAGGGGGAGTATGTAGGGTATTTCCGCTAAAGTGCAGAATCGCCCACTCATTTGTTTGATGCTTTTTACAAGAGTAAGAAGAATTGGACTTTTGTCAATTTTCTTTGATTTTTAAGTGAAAATAGGTCGATGTGTACATGTATACCGAGTATGTGCAATTCTGAAAAACGCGCCAAGCAGTGGACGATTCCGCACCTTCCCAGGGTATTTCTCCCTCCTTTTTAGCATACCTTCCTCGTGTAGTGAGTGGTCAGCACGCTCAGCGCGTATTCGAGAGGTCCGTGGTTCGAGTCCCGGCGAGGGCATAGCTCATTTTTTCGCTTCTTCTGCATCAAAATAACCTAATGTCTCTGCGGGGTTAATAAAGGTATCATTGGGACTGATTTTCTAAATCATTTTAAAATACTCATTGATATTCATAACAGAAAATTGATCAAGTTATCTGTAAAGGCTGCTGTTAGGTCTATCTCTGATGCATCATCAGCACACTGAATAATAACCATAAAGCAAAGTTTTATGACTTGTGCATTCATTTCGTAACGAACCCGTACGCACGCAGCAATATTTTTTGTCAGAAGTGGGATTTGAATGCCAATAACAAGAGCGATGGAAGAACAGTTCATGCAGTTGATATCAGCTTTTGCCTCATTTAAGGAAGAAATGAAAGCGGGATAAGAAGAAATGAAAGGGAAGATGAAAGCTGTTTAGGAAAAGATGAAAGATTCTATTAAAGATGAGATGAATTCGGTTAAGGAAGAAATGAAAGCCGTTCAAGCTGGTCAAGAAGAAATGAAAAGAGAAATTACCTGCATAATAGAAAACAAATTTAAGGCTGTGGAAAATAGAATGAACATGGTTGAAAATAGAGTTGGAGAAACTGAAGAAAAGGTTTCTGGTGCTCAAAAACAAATCGAACAACAAATTGATGACAGAGTTTCTGCAGTTTCCAAAGAAGTGGATACTTTAAAGAAATTCGTAGCGACGGCAGGGAGCAATTCGGATAGTTTTAAATTTTTACCAATGCCTGCTCGTTCCTCTCTGAAACTATCTACATATGATGGCAAGACCTCCTGGCAAGCGTATAAGACACAATTTTCTATTGTTGCGGAAGCGAATGGATGGGATTCCCAAACTAAGGCCTGTCATCTAGCCGCTTCTCTGAGAGCAGATGCAGCGGATATCCTGCAGATGCTTCCAGAAAACCAGACTTGACTTCGAAGCTCTATCCGGCGCATTGGAGCTGCGCTTTGAAGAGAAGTGTTTAAAAGACTACCGCAGGCTTCAGTTAAAATCCCGCCAACAGAAAACCACGGAAACAATCCAGGAACTCGCCACAGATGTTGAAAGGCTGTCCCATCTCGCCTTTTCGGAGTGCCCGACAGAAACAAGGGAAATCCTGTCCCTGCAATATTTCATCGACGGCATCCGGGATCCTGAAATACAGAAAGCTCTACGAATGGCGGATGTTGAAGATCTCAAAAGCGCTCTAGTGTACACCATGAAATTCAAGGCAGCCCAGCAAGCCACTCGTCGAGACCGCCACCCAATCAGAGCTGCTCATGTCCAGGAACCAAGGGATCAAGTTACTGTTCGTCTAGACGATATAACCAGACAACTCAGTGACTTAAGAAGAAATATCAGTGAAAAGAAACCGACCTTAAAATGTTGGAACTGCGGTGCTGAAGGACACTTATGACGAAACTGCAGAATACCCCAGGGTACGGATGTTAAGACCGCTCCTAAAAAACAGCAGGGAAACTAATTAGTGGCCATCTCGCGGGGCGGAGGTTGCCAGATAATGAAAAGCCCCAGTTTAAAGCGATTCAGATTTCTGCAGTGAGAGGCGGCAGTAATGAAATTTTCATAATGGGACATATAAATGGAGTTCCCTGCAATATGACGATAGCTACAGGAGCCAACGTTACCATCATCCGAAAAGATTTGGCTCAACAAGTGGGAAACAAACTTATCTGGACGCCGCCCTGCGTTACCCTCCAGACTGTGTCCGGTGAGAAGATCGACGTCGACGGAAAAGTAAACGTTAACATCACGTTTGGAAGTGCCGCTTACCATTACACGGCATATGTAGCAGAGATCACTGATTCTTGCATACTCGGATTGGACTTTCTAAGTAAATACAATTTTTCCTTGGGCTTTAAAAATAACGAATTGCATTCTACATCTGAGAACATAGCCCTGTTCGGAATTAATGATGGAGTGAAATCTATCCACAAAATTATAGCTCAAGATGATATCACAATACTCGCAAGAACCGAGTTTTTACTTCCTGACTCCATAGCAGAAATTAGAAATTTCCACTACGGCATCATAGAATATCCCAATAACTGTAATAGCGCAAAAGGAGTACAGTCGGTCACAAAAGTATTCGAACACCGGCACCCATTCAGAAAATTTACTTTTCCGTTGAGAAACAAAATTGTCTCCAGAGTCCATCTTGGTTCGATGGAAAGAAAAAACAAAAGGATGGCTCATGTCCAAAATTGGCTAGGTGCATGAAACAAAATACAACATGACCTATCTGGGTGAGATGGGAAACAAAATGGCTGCTCACGTGATCCATTA